GGATCCAGTTATCAGTTCTATTTCCGAGACCAGATCCAAGCAATCAGCTCTTTTTTGAACGCAGTTCACACCAGCCAGAAATTTTTAAGAACTCGATATTCAGAATGCACCTCGTATGCAGGTGAGATTTGCTGATGTATATGAGTGAATCTCATCAACGTCAAATTTACGCAGTACCCATTTCAATCAATTCATTTTTCGTGGAAATCACTTTCAAGTAAAAACCATCAATTGTTTTTTTTATAAAAATTTGAGTCTCATTATAAAAATTTAATCTTTCACAGCAAGCAGTTTTCTACTAAATACATCAGTTTTTTTCGAAGAAAATATCTTTTTACGAAATATTTGATGATTTTTATTAAAAGATTATCCCAATGAAAAATCCATTGATTTAAATAGGTATCTTGCATATTTGACACTGATAAGATTGTTTCACGTTCGTGAGCGTGAGACGTACAACTCTACTGGAAATGTGACTCTCTGTTAACTCGTTGCCATGACTTTGGAACTAGATATTGCCATTACACAGTAGCTGGAGATTTTTTGGTTACAAATTATTCGGTAGATGGTCAGTTGATACAATTGACACAGTTCACGAGAAAAAGAACTAGTCATCAATCCTCGTTCTAAAAAAGAGAACTGTCATAAACTAAGTTGCATTCGTCATCGAGAAAATGTACAGTGTTAGGGATGCAAGGATGAAGGTTAATAATCGATTTTCAGTAGAGTTCACTGTCTTAAACATCTTAATCATTTTAACCAGTTGCTTTCGCTACACAAAAAGGTTTTTAAGAAAATGATGATATTCTACAAACGTTGAAGAAAGTTGATCGGAATCGAGGAATCCAAATCCGTGCACTCAGACGATTATTTTTCATCAGTGAGAAAATCATGTGCAAAATTTTGAAAATCTGATTACAGATTCGGATTACCCGATACTGTTGTAATTTTGTCAATCTTTATAAAATATCGTCATTTTCGCAAAAAGGTCTTTAGGTAGTGAAAAACACAGTAAAATGGTTAATACATTTAAAACAGTGAAAACTACTAAGAACCGCTTGTCGATTTGAACGGTTAACTGTTGCATTCCTACACGGTATCATGCTGCTACCGATTTATATATCGTAATAAGTTTTTTCGGAAAATCGAGTTTATCAAACTAGAGTGCTTTTGTGCTCGTATTTTTAGAATTTATCAGGTCTATTTTTCCTAATTGAATCTCCTATATGAAGTATTTGGCGAGAACCTTAGTTTGAAATCGAAAACTCTATAGACTCCCATAAAAAGTAACATCATATTGATACTCACGGCGAAAATTTATGTTTAAAAACATATAGGAACCTCAGAAGTTTCCATAGAACTCTAGTCTTGATACCATTTTTTCTCCCTACAAATAATTTGAGCCATGGTTTTCCCACCGTGATAGTTCAATCAAATATGAGAATTCCTTACACTACTGAATAACAAATATCTCTCTTGATTGAAAATATGATGTTACTTTCGTGAGCAATTGTGCATTTGAAAGCTAGAATTTCGGCATGAAAACGCATATTTATGATGAACTGCCACCATTTCGAAAATGTTAGTGTCGATGAACATATTTGCAGATTAGTTTGTCCTTGAAAATCTTGTCTTGAACTTAATTGATTTAAATATACAACGATCCTCGTCTCTCAATATCTTACAACTAGCCATACTTGGCATTCACTCGAGTTGGATGACTAGTTTAGCCCTACACAGGAAGCTTACTGCATTTTCTATATATACTTTTATGCTTACATAAAGATTAAGCTGACTACTGCTGCCAGAAGTTGAAATAAAGCTTATAATATTTGTTCCATCGAAAATCGGATAGCTAACAAGAAAATTCCCATCATAGCATGTATAAGTTGTGCAGACCGGCACGCATGGCTGACCTAATCCACTCGGTGGTTCTTGATAACCTTCGCAGCTAGAACATGACTGACAGTTACGCGTGGTATAATTAGAATTCAGCAGTAAACACTTTGTTTTCGAATCATATTTAATTTGACTGTTTCGAGCTCTAACATACTGGGAAACACCAACTCCAAAGAATATTGGAGCAATTAAAGATAAAAAGCCAGCGATACCAACAATTACAATAATTAGAGTTGTTGTTGACATCCTTTGCTGCAGAAATCCTTTCAATCAAAGTTCAAATCTGCAATCAATAAAAAACCATACGACTACAAAATAGAAATTTGTCATCTAGATAAGAATGATTGTGCACAACTTTAGGTACTATTTATTACGTAGTTCGTTATTTTTCTGCATATATGACAACAAATCAAAACGATAAACAAAGTAGAAGATTATTTTTAGTTTAATTTTTCTCTGCACTGCTTTGGTACTGGAGCATTACCTATTCTATTCAGTATCAAGTCTGCAATCGAAGTCGTGAAGAGCATTTATTCAGATCAAACAAGCTATACAGTATTTAGAAACAGAAGAATTCTACTACAAGTACTATTTCAACACTTTAGGTTAATTCGTTTATCTGAAAAGTGAAAGAACAATTTAGCCATATTCGACAATTCGAATACGAGGCAACCCTTTTAACAGAACAAATTCTAGCTAAAAGTTTTTCGCAAGATGAAAAATGATTATTGCAGTTAGATTAGTCCATTTTCCTTCTTGAAATCGTCATAGCTTGTTATTCTAAATTAGAATGATGAAATAGAGTTCATATTCTGTGTTTCATTAGAAAAATATCACATATTGAATTATGAACGTCAACTGCTACCTTTTAAATGTAAAATTTTACTTTTTACTTTGTACAGGAAAAACTTAATTCAGACACATCTGTTATGAAAAGCGAATGTTTCAGTCTGTCTTTGCATATTGATTATCAATATCAAGCTTATATTATATCAGAAATAACATGGGATAATGAATAGCATCAAATCTAGTTAGTGGGTAAAATATCTGTCGTGAAGATAAACTTATTCTAAAAATCAAGATATATTTACTGATGCTAAACAACCCTAAAGTCTCATTTCGAAATTTCACGTTCTCGTACGATGTACAACTCAAAGTAAGTCAAAAGAAATTCTCTAGCACTAATGAAGAATAGCCAAGGGTAAAAACTTATGGTTGACCAAAAAACATTTTTTCATTTCGCCTGTAAAACTGTATGGGCAAGGTGCCTTTAGCTCAAGTCTCACGATTTTTTTCCCGCTAACTTCACACTGTTAGTGGAAAAGATACTCAAAACTTGTGCACAACACATTTGCTATTGCCCAGGTCAATCATACTCGGTCGTAAACGCCCGTGTACAAACCAATTACGGCGGATAACGGCAACTATTTGCAGTAGCTAGTTACGGCAATCGTAAACGATGTTTTACGGTGTATTACGGCCATTGTAAACAATTACCATAAAAAGTTATCGTAAACGACTAGCGTCACAATACAGCGGCTGTATACGCTGCTCGCAAAACATCGTAAAGTTTCGTACATGTCAGCTGTTTGTGGCAACCGTTTACGACAAGAGTAAACGATGTGTTATGGTATATTACCGCCATCGTTACCAACGCTCGCAAAAGGTCGCCGTAAGCCACTAGCGTAACAATATGGCGACTGTATACATTGTTTGAAAAACACCGTAAGATGTCGTACACATCAGCTGTTTACTGGTAGTCCTTAGCCATACTTTACCGCGTATCACAACGATCGGAAACAGCTACCATAAATAGCCTCTATTGACGACCAGCGTAACAATACCGCAAAGGTATAATTGCATCAGATAAAATACTATAACCTACTGCATGCGCTAGCCGCTTTCGATCGCAACATCGAGCAATCGTAAACACTCACCATTTACGGTCTCAGACAAATTACCCCGATTCTAAATGGTAAGCGCTTCATTTCAATTTACCAATTAGCTTCCAACATGCTATCTTTCGGCAATATGAAAGGTGGAGCTCCACACATATATCCCTCATTCGATAGAGCGTCCTCGATAACCACCCTTAGAGAGCCCTTAGTATCCCCTCCGATAGCTCTTGATGGATCCTAAGTGCCCCTCCTTTGGATGGATCTTCATGAGTCCTAAGCTTTCCAAAAATACTAAAGCATTAGGCTTATTCATTAATATTAATGCAAAAGCATCAGCATTTTCTTTAATACGAATGCTCAAATAACACTCTTATCAGTGCTATTAGATAACCCGTCAAACATCGCGGACGGACTAATCACAACAGGGCCGAGTATTCACAACCAGACGAATCATTCACAACCGGACGAACTATTCATAGTCGGACGGACCCATCCTATATACATGACTGTCACCACATGCCTCACTTCATTTCGCTCGTGGCTAAGATTCGAGTAAGTAGGCTTAGAAATCCTCAAAAAAGGCGCTCACCAAAAACAAAACCCCTTCACCTATTCTTTAAGCATCTATGAATCACAACAAGATACTGTACCCCCATAGAAGCACCTACACCTACCAACTATCACCTGCACAGGTAAAAAATTTCTCACCTACAGGTAAAAAATCATTCACAAATCCCTTTTAGGCCAATTTTTTTTTAACAAACGCTATTAAACCCTTTACATCACATGATTTCTTCATCCAAATGCCTGCATTCTTATAGGAAAAGCCATTTCAAGGCGTTTTCGTCACTACCTCCTTGGTTATACTTAATTTCTCTAGAGAAATCTGAGTTCTTCTAAAAAAATGCCTTTAAAGGCCTTTTTCTTGAATTTCTTAAAATAACATGATTTCTTCAGGAAAAAGCATGGGATCTAATAGGAATTGGCATTTTAAGGCCTTTCCCGAAGCTTCTGTTTTGTTTTAACGAGTTTCTACTGAGAAATCCGAGTTTTTCTAAAAAATGCCTTTAAAGGATTTTTAGCGCCTTTTAAAGCCTTTTTCTTCGATGGCATAAAATGAAGCAGTTGTGTGTCTAATTTATTGCTTTCTAATGGAAAGTGCTGTGTTTCGTTTAATGGCGTTGTCTGTGTCGTATACGGCCGCCGTATTTCGCCGTATACGACACGGCGGTTTACGGCCGTAATACGGCGCATAGAAATACGGCGTCGTAAACGACCGTATACGGTCGTATGCGGACATCGTAATGCTCGACACGGGATTGCTCGGGATGCGGTCGTTCACTACCGTATACGTCCCCAGCTGCGCAGTAAACGCTGACATGTATTGCCATATACGGTATAGCTAGGCGACTGTACGATTTTTGCTGTATCGTATACGGCTACCGTATACCGCCGTATTTCGCCGTATACGACACGGTGATATACGGCTGTAATACCCCAGGTCGATCATTCCGGCCGTCTGAAACGGCATCGGAAACGCCCTTAAACGGCTATAAAACGGCGTAATGAGGCATTAATTTTCCTTGTATTTGGCCGTAATCCGCCAGCCCGTTTTACGGGCCGTTTTTTCGCTAGAAAACGGCCATCGTTTTTCACACTATTTTCGCCGTTTTTAAAGCTGACGGAAAACGGCGCCGTTTTTCGACGTTTTATATCGTTTTTACGCCACTTACGGCCGTTTACAGGCCGTTTTCTTGGATCTGGGACGGTACATAGAAATACGACGTATATACGGCCGTGTACGGCCGTATTTCCGTCGTATACGGCGGTATACGGCGTCGTAAACGGCCGTAGACGGTCGTATCTGGTCGTCGTAATGCTCGACCTGGGTGATTCTACAATCGTAAGGCTCAACAATTCTTTTTATTTCTGATAAAATCACCACATAATTTTGTACTTCTACATTAGTAATTTATTACTTTACCTAAAGTTTTCTTCAAAAGAAAATCGTTCGAAGCTCGTTGTTTCGAATAAGTCATGTTAACAGTCGGTATCCAAAACTAGATTGAAAGATAATTCTGTCTGCCATTCTCTTTTTCAGCAGTTTGATTTTATATAGTTCGTAAGTAATCTACATTTATACAGTGAAGTTGTACGACTTGAAGAATTTTATGCTATTCTGTGTCTCCTATTGATGAATCATGAGAAAACAAGAGAAAAAAATCATGTCCACAGGTATTTTTGTAAACATTGCGAAAAAGGAAGTGAATGTTTGACGTCTATCGAAAAAAGAATGATGCATTTGTTCTGTGTGTGAATAGCCATGCTTTTCTCTCACTTGATCGACTAAAAGCTTTACCTATGTGCCACGTCACATTTCAATGTTGTTTCGCCCTTTTCTTTCTTCATGATAGATATTTATTATACAGATGTATGGAAAGGGTGTGGGTGTGGGATGTGGGTGTGGGATGTGGGTGTGGGTGTGGGGTGTGGGGTGGGTGTGGGTGCTGGTGAGTGTGGGCGTGGTTGTCGGCGTGGGATGTGGGTGTGGGGTGAGTGTGGGCGTGGTTGTCGGCGTGGGGTGTGGGTGTGCGCGCTGGTGAGTGTGGGTGTTGCTCTTTTCGTAACCCAAACCCACACACCCACCCACATCCGCACACCGATACCAACAGAAGCCCACACCCACACCCACCCACCTGCCCATATCCACCATACCCACGCCCACCCACACCCATAGCTTCTCTATTTCTTCACCCAAATTTTTCTTTTTTCAGCAAGTGAAGGAATCTGAACTTAAATGATTATGTGTTGTTGTCTAAAGCGAAAAAATGTAACTTCATAGAACGAATGAAATACAACGCAAATAAAACAACGGTCGTTGTTGATATGCATTACTTTACAAGTGAAAATAAATAAAAAAAACTAAAAATTCATTCTGAGCCACGTGGAATAGTCACTTGCATTGCTTACTCTTTTACAGGTGAGTCGAAAGACAATACTGTTTTTATTTTGCGGTAATGAAAAATCTTAGAAGAAAATATTGAATGTTTATCTTGTCAGTTTCTGGTCGAGCACAGTTATTGAAGTTCTTTTTCTCTATACACTTGCTTATGAAGAGTTAAGAGATGGATTGGCCCGCTGTTCTCACTAGGTGTGGGTGTGGGTGTGAATGCATATGTTCTTTACACCCACACCCACACCCACACCCTAATTCGATTCAATTATTCGCCAATGACTCTGTTTTTAAATGTATTAAATTCTTTGTTTCTTGTTAGAAATAAATGCATACTCTATCTTGACCCAGCAAAATAAATGATTCACTCGAGATACAAGTTCATCAATGACTGTGATCCATATGTAAATGAGCCTTTTTATTTTATTTGCGAAACACATCGATCACTGAGTCTCGTTCCGTCTACGATTGCCAAATGAAGCGCAGAATGAAAATTATGCATACATGAATTCTCTTATAGTCGAAACAGAAGTAGAATAGTAGAACTGAAGTTTCATCTTCTTCTCTAATGGAGATCAAATGAGTACTCTATTGCCTTTAATATGATTATCATAGAATTTTAGCAATACGTATCCTAAAACAGGATGAGCGCAAGTATTTTCCAGAGGTCATGTCGTTTGTAATTTTGTAGTCCTTGATGACTTCTACTTGTCCTGAAAAAATGAATCCGGCTCCATATGCAACAGAGGAGATCGAGTGCGCAGAGTAGCAGTGCAGATTGTCTTTTATATGATTTGAACAGATTTTCTATCTAAAGCGCTGGGTATAGTGATGTAAGGAAGGATGTTTATATAGAGTTTTCTTCAGTTTTCAATGCTCTATCGATCGATATATGTCAGATGGGTTGATCATTGTGGCTTTAAATGCGATGATCCTGTGCTAGTTTAGTAGGGAGGTCTCTGAAAGCTACCTTTGACCAAAAAGAATTTTCATAGGTCATTTAAATAGGGCTGACTTTGTTTGCAAACTATCCTCTACTCTTGTGTATTCATCATTGAATCGAAACCATTAAGTTAATCACTCACGTATTGATTATGTAAATTACTATGTATCTAAATGATTCAGAATGTGCTGGATCAATCGATATGTATCAGCTTCAAGTTATATGAAGAAACAAACTTTCTAACAAGGAACAAAAGGTATTGTTAGCTTTACCACAACCTAGCTTGATGTATTAGATAACTGATGCACAAGATGGGTGTGGGTGTAGTACGTATGAAGGCAATACATACACCCATACCTACACCCACACCCACACCCCATATATGGCCGTTTTACTTAAGTTTTAATCTGCTATTTTGTACATTGGTAAGTCTGACGACGTTTGGAATATGCTGAAAGTTTTAGTGAAAAAGAATGTTCCTCTGTCGATATATTGAACTTCCAAAACAAAAACAGTCTTTCACTACGAGTGATGTCATAATTCCGTTACACCGGGTATCCGCATTTTCGAATAAAAAAAAAGTAACTATATGTTATAAAATTGAGGAATTTGAGTGAATTTGGAGTAACTAGATCGTTACCCCAAATTCACTCAAATTTCTCAGCTTTATAATATATAGTTCAGCTATAGGGTAACGACCTCATTACCCTTAGGATAGCTATATATTTTAGAATTGAGGAATTTGAGTGAATTTGGGATAACGAGGTGGTTACCCCAAATTCACTAAAATTCCTCAACTTTATAATATATACTTACATTGTGAATGTCATTACCCCTAGGATAATACCCAAATTCACTCAAATTCCTCAATTCTAACAACACATAGTCACATTTATAGAGTAAGGAAGTCATTACCCCTTGGCGTAAGTTCCATCGTGCAAGTGAAATCACTTTTAGTTGATTACTCTGTAGGGTATCCTGACATTTAGTTCTCGATACCCAGTGTAATGGTATTATAACATCTATGTTCACTACAGACTTATTCAAAAAAAATCCAATTTATTTGGACATACGATATTTCAACAAAGGAATATTCTAAGGATTATTAGATCTCTCTATGGACAAAATCATGGATCGAAAATTTAATAATCTAGGAGTATGGGAGTAGATCTTCTTTTCACTCACATCCATACACACACTTATACCCATAATGAGAATGTGGGTGTGGCTCATCTTATTCATCTCAACAACGCCTATACCCACACCCATCTTCATTTTTAGCTTCGTTCCTTCGACAATCGGATTGTAACAATGAATATGTGTTATTAATTTCTTGCTCTTACAAGATATATTTTTGATCTTTACAACATGATATAAAAGACAATCAGTCTAGTTATGATTTTTTGCTTGTACAAGCAAAACTTGTCATTATCCATGGTTCGTCTTTGTGGCAATCTAGCCACTCTTCATTTTCAAACAGGATACATTTCTTCGATGGTCCATCACTATTCCTGAAACAGAACGATGATTTGGGGCACAGAATGAAAATAAATAATATCTCACCGTTTCAATGTAGATGCATCTTGATCAATGATCGATATTAAGAGTAATTCATTGTTACGTAATAAAATAAGACAATCGTTTGAGACCTTTAAAAGTGGTGAGAGATTATCGATAAATATTTTTTCTAAACATTTCCTATCATCAATTCGATACATAAATAACAATGATTCTTTCTGACATATTCCAAATAGATATTTTCCATCTTCTGTCAAACAAAATGTATCAAGTGAAATTTCCAATCGAATATCACCATACGACGATTTATTGATATCATGAACTACAAATAATTTATTTCCATTAGGATCGATAAGAGTAAGACAATTTCCTTCTTTCTCAAGTCGATCATGATCAAAAGTGATTATTTGGTTGCCATTATCAATATACCATAAATAAATTCGTTGTCTATTATCATGAAAGACAATAGTAGTTGATAGAGAGTATATTTTATTGATTTGAGTTGATTTGTTAATCAATGTTGGAAGATATTTAATGATTCTCGTATTTGAATCCCAAATTGTTAACGTTGAATTATCATCAGATAAAATGAATAATTTCGCTCGTTTAGGTACGACAGTGCTCAATAGGGAATGACACTGAATTTTTAAATGAGTAATAGTGCGTAATGCAAGTGGATGATCAGTATTTATTTGAAAAATTTGTTGTTTGTCACCATCAACAATAAGAAAAGACGATGCAAGTGAATGAATTTTAATGGATTCATTATAAAATTCAGTTGTTTCGAATAGAAGTATCGGTGTGGAACAAATCGAATAGATAGAAAGTCTATTCTTACAATCGAAAACAAGTAAATATGATGAATTAATAGCAAATTGAGAAATTGCATTGGACACACGGAGATGCATGACAAATGATAGTCGATTGGAATATGTAAGTAAGTTCACATCACTGTAACACAATTTGTTTTTTTTTTTTTCAATAATAAAAAATGAAATTTAATATAAAAGAGTGCTTACCATTTTACTTGGTCAAACGTGACGATAAAATCATTTTGAATTTCAAAATAATCTATTTGTTCTCGCAATGATGAATTTTCTTGAAGAGTAGCAAATTTAACCGGCAAGTAAGTCATTATTGTAGCATTGTATTTTCGTAGTTGACCATTTTCCAATGCACAGTTGACAATAATGCCCCAATCTTTGTCTAAAAAAAATCTAATATTTATTTCGAAATTCTGATCGAAATCGTTCTCACCAAAATAACATGTAAAATGAGAAACTGTCTGATCGAGTTGTATACGGGCAAGTTGACGATACATATGTATCATGTTATTGAATGTCCACTCGAATATGTCAATTCTCAATGTGTTTTTATCAAGACAACAGATAAATAAACGTTCATCGTTATCACAAATTTGTAAATAATGATATACACCGGGAATAATAAAATGATTTTCACACGAATGGAAAATAACAATAGATTCATTAGTAAGCCATATTAATGACTTATTTTTCTCACATCTATAGACGATTCGATTGAGAGGAGGTAAATTCTGAATTCTTTTTAATTGAATACGTTTTGGACGTTGAAAATAATAAAAACGAAGATATGATTGTCCTTCACAATAATAAATATCTGTTTCATTATTGAGAAAAATACTTTGATCTCCGAGTTTCACTTCTAGTGTTGCAAGAAATTTGAATTTAATTGTTATGGGAACATTTAAGTTTTCTCTCCAGAAACCAACCCATAAATATTGAATAATACCAGTTCGAAATGTTACTTTGATGATTGCACTTTGACTTTCGGAAAAAAAAGAACATTGTTCAAAGGGTTCATCGAACCAATATTGTTTGTACAATGTCCAATCAAAACAACGCCATACATCGATCGATTGACTGTCTTTCGAGCAAATAAGTAATGCCTGTTCATCAAATCCTATGAATTCAATATCTAATAAATGATCAATATTCAATTGCATGACAATTTGTTTCTCATATTTACGAAATACAAGAAGCGATTGTTTGGAAAAGAGACACAGATATTTTGAAAAGACTTTCATTGATGTGTATTCATTCGAAGGTAATACATATTCAGTTATTTTACTATACCAGTCCGTTGAATCTGACCGTATTATGACAAGTTTTCCGGTCAAAAGTACGATGGAATGACGATAAACCTGGGCAAGACTGTGAACAGTACCAACCATGTATTTAGTTAAGCTTGGATCAAACAATTGTGTTTCGTTTTTTAACATACGAATCGAACAATTGTTCAAACATCGTTCAAGGAGATTGTAAGTAAACTCGGGTAGTACATCAACAAGAAGTGATAATCGAGAAGAAATTTCGAATGCAAAATTATCTGGATATTTATCAAGAATTGACGAACAAGCCATATACTCTATCAGAAGAAATCGCAGTTCAGGATAGACACTATCAGCCAATAATCGATCACTCATTTTGTAACAATGAAGAAAACTTGACATAAAATCATAATTGTAGAGAAAATAAGGCTGCGGATAATACCGATAGATAGTATGTCCGGTTAGGTTCATGGATAACTGATTAATTCGTCGCCTATTGTAAATAAAATCTTGTCTGTTGCGATTTATTACATACGGTAGTTGTTTTGTAAGACATCGATTAACAACAAGCAAAGAAATTCCATTATTCTTTTTGATAAGTTTTTTCGATTTGATTTCAAATGGTTGATCGTTCAAATTTGGAAAATTTCCAATATTTTCAGCAAAATAAGCACGTCGAATGAATTCTAGCTTTTGGGTTTCACGAGAAATTGGATAGTAATGTTCAAAACTACGATGGTAACTATTAATAGAAATTTAATTAGAAAATATTTTTCATTGAATAAAAAGACAAAATTGATAATACTTACAAGTAGATAACAGATGTATTGTCAACGTCTTTTTCCACAAGATACTTTTGCATATCATTCCGAATACGGATCCATAAGATACTTGGTAATCGGAAAATATTAAGCGGTGGAAGATAATGAACAAAAACGGATTGTAAAACGATATTGGCAGCACTAAGTATATCTTCCAATTCGATGTCGGTTAATCCACCAGCCAGTACGAAATAAGTCATAGCTCGTTTAAATAAAACTTCACCATGTTTCTTCGACATTTGATTGTATA